ATCCATCCATCCATCCATTCATAAGTCAGTCACTTAAGCATCAATTAACCAATCACAGTGATGCTTAATAGTAATAGTGATGATGATGATGACAACGACGATGACGATGTTGATGAAGGATAAACTGTATGTACTTTTCTCCCTTTCTGTTTACAGATGCTGAAAAAATCAAGCTGTTTTTCAAGATCTTTCAGAACGTTAAATATTACTAATATTTTTTTAGGAAACAATTTTTTTCTCGGGAAAACGTTGTCATCGTGATGAGAGTTAAGTTTGTTCATGTTTCTTAGGTCAAACCCCCTAAAACCAGATTTGGATTTCACTAATGATAAAAATATGTTATCTAGTCGGATGCACCATTTCAATCTACAGAGTAAAACTTAAGTTGAAATCCGATCAAATTTTTCGATTCTGAGAGCGTTGTCTAGAAGCTCAACATTTTGAACCATGTTATACATAGTTTAACGATGAAACAGTATCAAAGGCAAGGACTGTTCAAAATATGTAGCTTTCATTGAGTAGCTTTCATTCACTTTAGGATTCAAATTAATGGCTAAAGTTTTACGGCATCACTCATTTGCTAGAGTGCTAGTGATAACTATAACCAGTTAGCTGTTGTTTGCCAAAGTTCGTCGTCTTATTTCCATGCCCAGTTTTCAACGTTTTATGCTGACTTAATAACTTTTATCGTTGAGTTGTTTTGGGTCATTTCAGGCCTTTGTCATGTTAACCGTTTCAGTTGGTATTTTTAACTCATTCCTTTTTAACTATGGCTGAAAGTATAGATCATATATACAATGGCGGAGTTAACTATCTTTGCCTTCCACTGAATCCAAAGTATGACAAGTACAAAGATGGATAGCAGGCCACGGGACGCGTGCTCGGCACTGAGTATGAAGTCAGCGGCTTTAACCCATTTAAGGAAAATCTCCATGAGCATGAGGCACCGTGTTCTGTTTGCTTCGTTAAGTCACGTGGTTCAATGCCTATGATGCCCGCACGGAATGATTGTCCATCTGGCTGGACCGAGGAGTATCATGGGTACCTTATGACGGAGCACTGGAATAACCCAAAGCAAACTGACTTCATATGTGTAGACGAAGATGCAGAGTATGTCCCTGGTACCCAGGCCAACACGATCGGTGCGCTACTGTACCTTGTGGAGGGGAAGTGTGCTGGCTCACTTCCATGTAGACCATATGTCGGTGGGAGAGAGTTAACGTGCGCTGTTTGCACCAAGTGACCAACGACGGCCATAACGGTGAAAAGCGAGGCTACAGAACAAGATGTCTTGAAGAGCAATTTTTGTGATTTAATGTAACGTAAAGATGAATCGAAACTTGATCAGTTTTAGTCAAAGAAGTAGACCATGATGAACTCTGCGCTTTTAATCAAAAGTATCGGATTGATGATTTACATGGATGTAGTGTACGAATAACAATAATAAACTTAACTAAGATCAATGAAAAACGAGCCTCGAGTGAGTGAGCATGGTTTGAAACACTAGTGAAAAAAACGGTATCAGGCTCCTAAGGACGTTCGCGCCCAAAATGTTCCCACGATCAGATTTTTTTAAAACCTGCCATGCAGCAAGATAAACATTAACTTTTGCCAAAAAAAGACCAAACATGGGCGGTCACCGTGCTCGTTTTCGAAATAAGGGGCATTGAAGACCATGCGTTTTTAGAGGCTTTGGTCATTTTGAGACGATCTTATAGCTCACAGCTATCAGCAATAAAAGGAGCTACATGCATTAGTGAAATTTAGATCAGACATACAGGGCCATAGCCATAAACAAGGTATAACCGAGGTAATGTCCATGGTTTAATTCTCTTTTTAGGTAATCAGCAGTGTTTGACTTTCCTCCTACTTATAAAAGAAATTCAACAAAAACGGAAAAAAATGACTAAAGCAACTGCCTCAGTTCGAAAACAAAGTTCCTCGGTTTGCCTCATACTGGCTACAACCCTGATAAACGTACTCAGTTCAACACAACTAAATATATTAAGTAAACTTTTATAGCTGTTGTTGTTCCTTGAGGTAGAAAAAGTTTTAAAAAAGAATACACATTAGTCTTGCCCGTTCTCATTCCAAGAAAACCTCGGTCGCACGAGAACAGAAAAGGAGAAATATTTGTAACTTCTCATGACCAGATTTTTTTTGTTAAAGTGGGGAAAATCGATTTAAAAAAGTGATCTATGAAAAGAAATGCGGGGTTCACCTGCCTTTTAAGGAAGTAAACTGCAGGTGAAGTTAACGCAAACGCTATTAAGCCCTATACTTGCATTGCTTATATTTCTTGCATAGCGCGCGCTAAATGTCACGGTGGGATGGCGTGACGTTGCCTCATGAATTTCGTGGGCAGTAAAGGTTGGTAGGAAAGCATTGGGCGAGAACGTCCTTTAACATGTGATAATTTGTTTATTTCATATTCAAAAGATTAACAAAACAACTAAGGACAATAACCGTAGACAATTCAGTGAACCAATCAAAGCGCAAAGCAAATACTTCGTGAGGTGAGGAAAAGTGTGTTCGAACGAATCCAGGCCCCATTCGACAACTTTAAGTGCCAGCACAAAGGGCAAATTACAATGACAATTTTTCGAGTTAACGGGGAAATGAAATATCGGTAGTTTTTCTTCTTCAACCATCTATCGAAGTACAGTTGTGGCAAGGAGAGATGGTGGTTCGGGTCAGGTTTCACCTTATTTTCGCACGAACAGAACAAAAACGTCTGTAAACACACATCCAGTTTTTTGTCGCCAACAGGTTCCTGTCAATTTGTTTGCCTTGAATAGAAAACCGTTTCCATTGCACTTTTGTAATATTCAATATACAATAACCAAGTGGACCAACTCTTAGATAATTTAAATATTCCGTCTTACTCGATGGAACTACCTCATCCACAATTCTACGTTTTCGTCGCATTTTGCAAGATCAGATGACTGCAGAGGGGAACTGGGACGATGCTAAGGTCATGAAAAACTGGTTTTAGCGATAAATATTGGCTTTTTCAATAGCTAATGACGTCATCTATGCTTCTGATCTCCAATAGATCATAAGAAAGAACCAATCAAAATGCTAGAGAGCAAAATGCTAAATTTTCTATTTATTTCGAGAAAACACTTCGAAAAAAAAGAAAAAGAAAAGAGAATTGTTCGTTTGTTTCCATTATCAAACTGTAAATTTTCTTTGCTCGCACCCTTATTACGTCAACCGCTCATGCTAGTTGTGTCTTTCTATTGAGTTTTCGTAGGACTCATTCTACCTGCAGAAGTGCAAACGTAAAATTCTGACTGGCTGAGCTATCGTACATTATCGGCCGTCTATGTTTATGGAGAAGGCAGCGTGGCTGAGTGGTTAGAGCGACAGACTTGAAATTCGGAGGTCGCAGGTTTAAGTCCCGCTCTGACCACTAAGCTGTAATTTTTTTCTCGGTAGACCCTAGTTCAACTCCTCGGTCACGCTTGTAAACTGGTCTGACTCCCGCCAGTTGGGATTTGTGTCTATTTGAAATCTTTCTTTCTTTCAACACTGACTGTAATGCCACCGAATTGTGCCAAAAAGGTAAGATTAGGTATGTACTGTATTTAGACAGACAAGAAATGAGCCCATATTTGGTCAGCAACTTGATATCGCAGGATATCGGGGTAGAAGAGACTTCGAAATTTTCTCCAGAGATAAATTTCATAAATTTCCTCCAGGTAACATGTCTGCTCAACAGACATGGAGTCTATGCAGGTTATGGTATGCAAACTAAGTTGGTTAAATGTAGGTTTGTATTAAGAAAACGCTATTAGTTACAACATTGAATACATTTTTCGCCTTAAATTGATGTAGCATAGCGAGCGTCCTCAATACAGAATGAAGCCACTTAGAGGTGACTACCGTAAAGGTCCGTAAACTTATGAAAGTAACGAACCCCAAAGACTGCTAATTCCGAAAGTAAAGAGGGCCCTTACTTTTGGAAGTTTACGGTTCTGGCTTTGACCAACAGGATCAAGGGCTCTGGAGATGAAACTGAATTGAGTGGCAGTGAAGCAAAGAAGATAACTTTTGATTGCACGATCTTGCA